CCTGTGAATTGTAGGATGGAATTCTGCCATGTGGCTGCTAAACACTAAATGCCAGTTAGAGCCCCATGCCTTTTATTTTTTATTTATTCTTTATTCTTTCTTTCTTTATTATTATTATTATTATTATTATTATTATTATTATTATTATTAGTTTCAGGTGTACAAAACAATGCAATAGTTATCCTTTTCACCCCTCGCAAAGTAATAATCCCCCGTGCCTTTTATATTCCTATGGCCTTCCTTCTGCATCATGGGCCCTCCGGTTGCGCTGCCCTTCCTCTTCTGTGGGGCTGCAAGGTCTCTGCTTCCTTATATTTTTATTTTTTAAAATTTATTTTATTTTATTTTTTTGTTAGCTGAGCCATCCTGCCACCTGTTGGCAGCTCAACGGCAGCTCAGCTCTGGTCGGGAATTGTACCGGCGATCCTGTTGCTCAAAGCTTGCACTCTTGAGCGAGCTCTTAACCAACTGAACCACTTGGCTGGGCCAGTCTCTGCTTCCTTTTAAATGTCTGTGTGAGCTCTTCCCTGACTCCATCATCTGGGTTCCCTGATTGCATTTAATTCTTTGGTTGTAGCTTTCTATTTCTTTATCTTATATATAATTCACAAAAACATATATGTATATTTAGTTTATGGATCTCATTCTGTCAATAATTTGTGTCAGTGTCTTGAATGCAAGGAAAACACCTTATACATCCTTGTACGATAAGACATAGCAGAGAGGCCTGGCACACACATTCACATTTGTTATAGAGAACAAGACCAATGCAGACCCAGTTCTTCCCAAAGAGTTGAAGCTAATCCCCCGTGTTAATTAGAGACACGGTACATAGAATAAAAACGTTTGCTAATATGAATGCGTTGATAAAGACAGCAATGATTACAATCAAATTTTAACTTGCTTACCAGAAAATTTATATTACCTAAAACTTGGCCAAGGTACTCTTTTACAAAATGAGGGGCTAGACTACCCAATTCTTGTCTCCTCTGGCTCTAAATTTTCGAAAATTGTATTTAAGTGGGAGAGACAGTGCCATCTAGTGGTCAATTTATTTTTTTTCTGTTCGTTATGAAATCACTATAACCATTTCTATTTTATGTATTCCTAGCATTTCAAAATAATGTCAATGATCATGGGTATTCCGAGGTTTATACATACCATGGTTCTGTTACAAGTTCAACATTTGGATCTACACACATGCTGTTTTAGAAATACCATGAAGGTTACTAAACCAGAGAAAACTTTGTATTTTAGTAACGTATTTGAGAGCGATCCAAGCACCCACTATGTCAACAGGCGCTTGTTGAAGGCACCTGTGATGAGGACTTGTGGGTGCTGGCAACCCCACAGTGAATAACCACACTTCCCACCCAGGGCGTTTAAGATCTTGTTGGGAGAGAGACCAGAAAAAGTTAAGAAGCAACAAATAAGATTCATTTTCATTCTGATAAGAAAATGGAAGAGGAAGATGTTGGGGGCGGGCCACCTTAGGTGTGGTAGGTTCTCTGAGGAGGGGGCGTTTGAGCTGAGGGCCAGTGGCGGGAGGGGTGGGCTGCCTCAGAGCTGAGGAGAGAGTGCTCCCGGCGGGAGGGGCAGTGAGCAGGAACCCGGGATGGAGGACTCACAGGAAGCAGGGGAGTGGGGGCTGGGCTGAAAGCAGGCCCTGGCCAGACCAGTAGGGGCTTACAGACCACCACGAAGAGCTTGGGTGCAATGGGGGTCCACTGGAGCATTTTAGGCTGAGCAGGAGCGTAATCCGGTTTAAGTTCGCAAACACTCGGGCGGCTTGGCGTGGCCGCTGTCTAGAAGCATCTGTCAGGAAGATGTTACAGGAATAACGGTGAAGGACAGGATGGTAGTAATGGAGATGGGGCCCTGTGGGATAGATTTTGAAGGCAGAGTAGAATAGATGTGGGGGCCAGGGAGAGAAAAGGAGTCAAGGATAACTACAGTTTTAGGCTTGAGCCATTTATCCATATAACAAAGACTTGGGGAGGACAGGGTTGGGAGGGGTGGGTACCGGGAGAGAGGAATCACAGTGCTTACCCATTTATTAGATATTGATTGAGTGCCTCTTATGTGCCAGAGACTCTTCTAAACATGGGACATAGCAGTGAACAGAGCAGACAGGAACCTGTGCTTTCACGCAACTTGAATTCCCTTTAGAACGGGAGACAATAACACAAGTAATATATGCACTATGTAAAGGCAGTGCATGCACTAAAGAAAATATGAAGCAGAGAAGGAGAAAGGCAAGGATGGGAGCGTTTAGATTTTAAGTAGGGTGGTCAAGGAAGGCCTCACTAAGCCAGTGATATTTGAGTAAAGGCCTGGAGCAATGAAGGTGAACAAGCCATATGGGAATATAGGACATGAGCCTTCCAGGCAAAGGAAGCAATGAAAGCAGGGCCATGAAATAAAGAGTGTGCCGGGTTTGCTCAAGGAGCAGAGAAAGCTGAGTGGAGACAGTAAGGTATCAGATGGGAAAGGTCGGGGAGGGCAGATTCTATCAGGCCTCGGAGGCCATCGTAATGGCTTGGCTTTTATATTCAGTGGGTGGGGAGCAGTGGGAGGGTTCTTAGCACAGTGGTGACCTGGCCCACTTACATCGTAACCGAATCCTCTGGCTGGCGTGTTGAGGACAAGCTAAAGAGGGCCAAGAGTGACATCGAGAAAGCTGCAGTGAGAACCCAGGATATGACTGTGGCGAGGACCAGCGTGGCAGTGAGAGTGGAAGTGAGGATAGCGATGGGTTTGCTAACTGTAATGACACATTATGTTTAAAATCATGTATTGCTTTAACAATGAGGGGAAAATGTAGGCATCATACCAGGTTTTTACTGTAAATCATTATAATATAATTGATTCAATAGCAATTCTGTTCTTAAATGAAAACCAGCTCTAAGAACATCAGTGTAAGATTCTTAATCACGAACTGTTGTGACTTCATGTCTATTTTAGTGTAAAATATGCAACTTCTTTGTGAGTCATGGAGAACTAATGAACTGTTTTTCTTCTCAGTTATATGATGGGGATAGTGAAAATGACAACTTGGCTGGAACGTTTTGTGGTCCCACTGTACCTGCTCCCTTTATCTCTTCTAGTAACTTCCTGACAGTTCAATTTGTCAGTGACATAAGTGTAGAAAGGGAAGGATTTAATGCTACATATACCATCATCAACAGTGAGTAAATTGAGATATTTTTATATATTATGAAACACATATATTTATGCACTGAACATAATGCCATGTTTATATCTAAAACCAATGTTAATTAATAAATTCAATGTTAATTATCATCTAAACTCAATGTCAATTACACCACGTTGATAACTGTGTTTAATCCAAGATGCAAATCTAGTACAATTCTTTCTTAGTCAAGAATATCTACCCTAAATCCTTCACAGAACAATGTAAATATAGCTCCTTTGGGCTGGAAGGGCAGGGAAAGCAGAATTTTAAATATTGTGTGTGTGACATGAGACATGAGTAAAAGTTGTCCTGAAAGTTGTTCTTTTTTCCCCATCTCAGTGACTTGTGGTGGAACCTATAATGCAACCCAGACCCCACAAAATATTTCATCACCCAATTCATCAAATCCAGATGTCCCATTTTCCACCTGTACTTGGGTCTTTGAAGCTCCCCCACATCAGCAGGTCGAGATAAAGGTGTGGACACTACAGCTGCCCTCGCAAGACTGCCACCAGAATTACCTAGCGTTTCAGGACGCACCGCAGGTAATAAGTAGAGGATGAATGACAGTCACATAGAGTGACCTTTCCACCAGTACTTGAAAAACACTTGAAGTCAAGAGGGCATGATGAACTAAATTGTCAAAGTTACTTCTAGCTTAATGTGTTTTTCAGCTATACACAAGCCCTCTGGGTGGTAAGAAACTTGAACTTGGTTCTTCAGTCAGAAGCTCTCAAACTTTCATGTGCAAAAGAAACATCCGGGTGTCTTGATACAAGTGCAATACCCTGAGCCCCACCCTCAGAGACTAAGTCCTCCACATAGCACCCATTACTCTGAATTTTTTATGAGTATCTCTGGTGTTGTGAGTCTGGTGCTCCCCGGGCCATGCCTGGAAAAATACTTCTACAGTTAGCGGCATCTATGTATAAGGTGAATTGAAGGGGCCAATGCCAAACACAGGGAAATCAATTAAGAGGCTATCTAGCTCCAGTCCAATGGAACTATATTCATGGTAATGTAAGAGAGAATAAGAGGGGGAAAAAAAATCTGTTTTGGTTTAAAAAAAAAAAGATGAGTTTGAATTGCCCATGGGCAATTGAGGAGACAGTGGGACATAAAAGTTTGTCCCACTTAATAGAAGGCCTGAAGATTTGGTTGTCATCATCCCATGAGTCGGTAGTTAAAATAACGAGAGTAATGAGATTATCCAGGAAACATACATAGCGTGAGGAGGCGTGATGTGACGATGGATACCTGGGGGAACACCTGGATTGTCCCTCTGCTCTTTGAGGACCAAGTAATCTACCCCAGTTCATTTTAGGAGTGTCATAGTCACCCCGCCCCCATGTGCTGGCGTTAATAGAGAATCCAGCCTATCAGGTTCTAACTTTTCAAGTCCTCCTCCTTATAAATTTGGGGTCTCCTGTTTTGCACATATATCTTTATGGGGGAAGAAAAATCCAGTTTGGCTGAGAAGTGCTGGCTGCTGAGTAGATACCAGATTTGCTGAATTATTACAAAACAGACACACCAAGTGACCTGCTACGCTCCCACCGTGGTCAGGTGCTCAGTTGTTATCATTCAGAATGTGGTTCCTTGTCCTTTCCCTGGAAAGACTGAGAGTCAAGTGGAGCAAAGCCCTTGGCTGAAGCTCTTTCCACTTCCTGCTGCTGCACGAAGCTGAGACAACGCGGATCCGGGCAGTCTCCCACCTGGGAGCAGACGTGCTACTTACAGGGCACCAGGCAGCTCTGGGTCTTAATGGCAGCTAGACTGGCCTCAGATAAGACCCAATATTTGTCATGAATGAATAGTGAATTCAACTGAACAAATTAAGGAGAGAACAAAGGGTCTCAGCCTGGGTANTCCAGACTTGGCACAGTGCTTGGGAAAACTGGATTGAAGAAGGATGCTGTTCCTTTTAGTTGAAAATTCAGGTGAGCTAAGGTGGGAAGTGTAGCACAGCGGAGGGAGTGTAGCCTTGGTCTCCTGGCCAGACTTCTTCCCAACTTTCCAGAGAGGGGAACGCTTACAGCCATCAGCAACACGATACAACTGTTCAGTGTTGACATTTGATTTTAAGACAGGGTAAAAACTGAATATGGTTCATCCAGATAGGAAAGAAAAATTGAGACCCCTTTGGTGTAACTGAACTAATAATGACCTTTTACTAGTTTTCAATCGTTTGACATTCCGGCTCCAGTCAGCCGTGGCCTCTTTTTTTGTGAGCAGCTTTTTGGTTACTAGCTGTGTAACCTTGGGCACATCACTTAACCTCACTGCGCCTCAGGTTTCTCATCTATAAAATGGGAATAATAAGAATAGCTACCTTATAGAATTACCGTCATTATCTGTAAAGTGCCCAGTATACCACCTGGCATGTCTCAGTCCATTCGGGCTGCTGTAACAAACTGCCACAGACTGCGTGGCTTAACAAACAAATTTATTTCTCACGGTTCTGGAGTCTGGAAGTCCAAGATCATGGCATGGGCAGATTCAGTGTCTGGGGAGGATGTGCTTCCTGGTTCACAGACAGCCGTCACCTCACTGTGTCCTCACATGGTGAAAGGAAACGTCTGCCCTCATGACCTGATCACCTCCCAGAGGCCCACCTCCTAATAACATCACAAAATAGAGGTTAGGTTTCCATAAATGACTGTTGGGGGGAATACAAATGTTCAGCCTATAGAATGGCAGGTAGTGGTCTTAATCGTCATTATTATCATTTAAACTGTTTTATCAATGATTGTGTAAACAATGCAAAGCAATACCTCTTTAGTTGTNTAATGTATTCATTAATCCTTCATTCCACAAATACTTAACAAGCATCTTCTAGGTCCAGGCACAGAAACCCAACAGGGAGCACGACGTGTTCAGGGCCCCCATCCCGGAGGCTCATGGTCCAGTGGGACAGACAGACAGGAAGTAGTCAATTCCTATGTGATGTGGGAAGGACTAACAGAGTCAGTTTAGGGACAGAGAAGGCTTCTTGAAGGATGGGATGTGTGAGTCCCGACCCGAAGAACCAGGGGAGTGTCCAAGTGCAAAGTGCTGCTTTGGGAGGTGGACAATGGCACTGACACTAGGAAGCATGTTTTGTGTGGAGATGAAAATGAAACCAAATGATAATAAATCATCAGCCTAATTTCCCTGATGCCACAGCAAGGAGGCTGTGTCCTTGACCAAGGGCTCAGCAGAAGCAGGGGGCTGCTCTGAACTGGACAAAGAAGCAACTTCGCAGTTTGCTGTCTGTCCTCCTGCCACCCACCCTCCACTCCTTCCCCCCATATACACTGGAAATACACCTCCTGAGCCTGCTCCTGGAGGGCTTGCACCTTTGTGACCCCACCCCCCACCACCGGAAGAGCCCCCTGTGTCCTTTCCACCCACCTGACTTCACTTACAGCAAGTGAGAAGGACTTAGCTTGCTGGTCACAGGGAGATCTTCTCAATAAACCCGTAACTGATGCGGACGGTGCACGGAGCCAGTGCCTCTATTTTGCTATAAAAACCCTGGAGCTCACCTGGCTGTCCTTTGCAAACTCTGTGGAGAATGAATTCAATTCTCAGGAAATACACGGAGGTGCCAGGTAAACCTTATAGACACAGAGGGTGCTGAATTCCTCTGTGAATTGAATTTGGAGCTACATGAGAGTCTTTGGTGAGGTTTCCAAAAAGTTTGTCTGCTCCTCTAATCTACCCTTGTTATGGAGTTTTCTTTTCCTTGAGAGCTCTCCCCTATAGAATTCATCTAAGTTTTCATACATGAATATCCTCAGCCTCTAGTGTAACAAGTCCTGGGAGGAAGCGCTTGCATTTTTCATGAGAAATACTTGCCATGGGAGGAAACAGGGAGGAAATGAGGAGAGAAATACAGGATGGTTTTGTGTCAGTCAGGGTATAAACTCTCAGACCTATATATCTCACCCACCACGGAGTCTAAAAATGTTTATAAAGCGGTCAGCAGACATGAGGGGAGGGGTGGGAGATGGAGAAAGAACACAATTATCCCGTCAATTCAAAGTCCCAGTGTAGCTACTCCTGGCTCATCTCAAGCTCCAGCTAACCGTTATTGACTAAAGTTCATGTTTTACCATTTGCTTATGGGTGCAAATGGCCAAAGGCCACTGAGTAAAGGCCAGCCCTCCAGCACTGGAGGGTGAGAACTCCTCCCCGCAGCTGTCCTTCCTTATTCCATAGAAATGGGTCGGAAACTTCCTATCCAATCAGCAAAGCCAGAAAACTGCAACTTGGACCTGTAAAGTGTAGCTGCGTCTGGCTCTCGGTGTGAAGATTGTGGCATGGTTTCTATGGCAGCCATACTAGCGAGCCTCAGCATTCCATCCATGTTAACTAGGGTGGGAACGGAAATTTCTAACTGAGGATTCCAACTGTATCACTACCACGGGAAGGCCAAGCCCTAGATTACATCTGGAATGTACATTTGTGTTCAGAGCCTTCACCTCCCCTGTCAGCATCTTCTAATGTCCCAGAGATGTCTACTGTTCTCGTGGGTCCTGTGAAGAGAAAAATGAATTGAACAAGTGATTAGGGTACTCAGTGGGAATTACTATCTTACAGGAAAAAGACCCAAAGCCAAGAGCACTGTGGCGGCAGGTCTGGACCTCCTGTGTTCTTGGATATGACACCCCTCTCTGTCTCCCNGAAACTATCCTTCCCCCATTGTCTGTTCTTGGCACCCTTGTCAAAAATTACTTGACCATATACATAGTAAGGGTATATGTCTGGGCTCTTTATTCTGTTTCACTGATCTATGCACCTGTTTTTAGTGGCAGTATCTTACTGTTTTGATGACTATGGCTTTGTAATATGCTTTGAAATCAGGAAGTGTGATGTCTCAAAATATGTTCTTTCTTAGGGTTTATTGGCTCTGCAGGGTCTTTTGTGGTTCCATACACAATTTGGGATTTTTGTTTTATTTCTATGAAAAAATTCCATTGGGATTTCATTGACTCTAGATTGCTTTGGGTAATCTGAACATTTATTCCCAATATTAATTCTTCCAATCCAACAACACAGGTTATCTTTTTATTTATTTGTGTCTTCTTCAATCTCTTGTATCAGTATCTTACAGTTTTCAGTGTACAGGTCTTTCACCTCCTCGATTAAATGTATTCCTAAGTATTTTAATGTTTTTGATGTAATTGTAAATGGGATTGCTTTCTTGATTTCTCCTTCAGATAGTTTGTTGTTAGTGTTTAGAAATGTAACTGATTTCTGTATGTTGAATTTGTATCCTGCTACTTTAGTGAATTCATTTATTAGTCCTAACAGTTTTTTAAAGAGATACAAGGAGTAGCAGTTAGAAACCCTAGTAAGAAAACAATGAAAGTTGTATAATGAAATCATCATTAAATAGAAAGCAAATTGAAACATGGCACAATTTTGAGTGTATTAGAAAAGTCATTTATTTATCTTGGTGTTTCCCCCTTCACGTGACACAGACGTCCATGGTTGCGAGCTGGGTGTTGGGGACACACAAACCACCATGGATTCTTGTCTTTGACGAGCTCATAATATATCGGGAGGCACAATCGATAAGGGACTAATGGTAGCAACTTCTGATAAGTGGATTCACAGCTATAGATGCAGGACACAGAAAAAGTTTACTTCTATTTTCCCAAAGCCCAACCACGGCTACAGCTCTCCCTCCGCAGTCGCTTCCTAAACTTACCTACTTCCGCCCACAGCACTCTGCGCTTAAACGTACGAACTGAGCCTGCGCCAGCACTAGTGCGCACGCGCTGTCTCTTGCCCAATCGGAATTCCAAACCCGGGATTCCATGTGGGTGGACTAACCTCGGGGGAGGGCGGAGTCTCAAAGCCGAATAACTGACGTGATTGGCTGGCCTTGGGCATATGTGTTCTTTTATGGGCGGAGCCTCGCCTGAGGCCACGTCTAATCAACTGTTCTCCTAATTTGGGAAGGGTCGGGCTCGGGCGCGGGCGCGGGCGTGGGCGTGGCTTGCAAATAAGCGTGGCACCGAGTGCGCCTGCGCGGAGCTCCGGGACAGGGCGTGTCCCTCGTTTGGGTGCGCTTGTACCTCGGGCCGACTGCATCTTTTTCGCCGCGGTATTGTGCCCAGCGAAACCCTGCCCGTTTCACACCCAGCCTGTTAGGTCCTGCCCTCTGTGGTGAGTGTGTGTGGCATTGCACTTGGGGCTGCTTGTCTCCGCGCGGCTGGAGGGGTGCTGGACCCTTGCCACTTCCCTGCTGCGCCCCATCCTCCTCCCTGCAGCCGGACCCTACCCGCTGATACCCACTTTCCAGGGCCAGGGAAACACCGGAGAGTGCCAGCCGGGGTTCTCTCCTTCCTGTCCCTGCACCCTCCTGGCCGTCGCCCACGTGCTTTGTTGTTGTTGTCGTTTGGTACAGATNTGGAGACAGTGGCTCCTTCACCAGCCCTGGCTATCCAGGCACTTACCCGAACCACACTCACTGCGAATGGGCCATCATCGCTCCTGCCGGAAGACTTGTCACCGTCAGGTTTTATTTTATCAGCATTGACGACGCCGGAGACTGTGTCCAGAATTATCTCATCCTCCATGATGGACCAGATGTTAATTCTCCATCCTCTGGACCGTATTGCGGTGCTGTGAGTAACGCAAGCTTTAAAAATTCCCATTTGTCATGTGTAAATAACGAAAGTAACTTAGGATACACTTTTAAAGGCAGACACACGCAAAGTAAAAAGCACAGTGTACTTTTACAAATTCGGTGTAGTTTTGTTTATTTTGGGGGCGCGAGTGCCACCTAGTGGGCATTTTCCTAAATTACTAGTCACCTGTGCCTCTGAATCACCTATGCTTCCAGTCTCCTCTCACACCTACCTAATGAGAATTTCTGGGGTAGGAGCCCTTGCACGTTTTTGTTTTGTTTTGTTTTGTTTTCTGAGCCATCTTGCCACCTGTTGGCAGCTCAGCTAGCGCTGGGAATCAAATCGGCGACCTTGTTGCTCAGAGCTCACACTCTTGAGCGAGCTCTTAACCAACTGAGCCACTCGGCTGGCCCACACATTGTTTTCTTTTTAAAGTTCCATATGTGATTTAAACCCGCCTGTAAGGGTTGAATACCCACGTTTGTTTCTGCATGATTATAACTTTAGGAAATTTGGATGCCTGGCTCCATTTTGTCTACTTCTTGTTGAAAATTGTGAGATTCTTTGAAGAAGTACACAGAGATATTAAAGATTGGTCTGATGATTAGTTGTTCGATTGTTTTTGTAAAGTTCTGATGGACTAGATCCTCCCTAAATAATCAAGTTAGAATTCTGACATTGATTCAACATTTCTTTCATCTGCCTTCACTGCCCTCTCATTTTACTGAAAGTCAATACTTACATAGCTTTTAAGTAAGAGAAATGTGACTACTGATGAGAGGATATGTGCTTCTTACTGGTCTGCTCTTTACCCATTTAGCCTTTCTAATCAGACTAGATTTGTAAAATTGATAAATGTTATTTTCAGAAATATCAGAAAATAGATAAAAAGTTTCAAAGCCCTGAGAATTCTTGCATATATTCTTCAAAACACATTTCTTTGAATATATTTGCACATAAACACATATTTCATACTGTTGTGTTGTATATTCTTTTCACCTACTGCGTTAACATCTTAACATATCAATAAGAACACTGGTGAGTCATATTTAATCATTGGATGGTATCCTGTTGCATGGGTACAGCATACTTTATTTAATGAAGCGCCTTTGGTTTATAGACAACACTTTGACAAACTAGGATAGCTCTCTCCTTTTATACAGAGTTAATTACTTGGGGAGAAATTTTGGTCACCTGGCCAGTAGGTATTACATCACTGCTATGCAAATGGGCCCACAGCACAAAGAACCCAGCAAATGTGTCACATTTCAGATTTAGAAGCTGACTAGGTCTTAGACATTTAGTTGACATTGGCAAACATTCTAAAAAGGAATGCAATATTCTTTCATAAAGCATCTATAGTAATTCTTAGCAAGATCACTTTTAGACATA